CCATGTCCTTAAGAAAGATTAACTTAGAACGTCCATGCAAGAGAGTCAGGCACAAACAGCTCTCAAGAATGTCGTTGCCAGCCTTCTCCCAAATAGAGGAAATACTTCAAACATGTCTTAAAAACTTCTATACCAGGACTGGGAATTTAGAATTGGGTTTGTTTCTCTGCTTTTGATGATTCACTTTCCCTTCACTGCTCAGGCTAATATTAAAGTAAGGCTTGGACTCTGAGAGCATGCTGTCACAAGCAGGGAATGCCAGCGGCTTCGGAGCAGTTGGCATGATAGGAGGTGGCCAACCCCAATTCCAGATGTGGCACCTAGTCCACTAGTGGTCTGTTGAGAGTTGTCAATTTCGGAGGAGGAGCTCGCAGAAAACTGGGTGACGGTGGGCGATTACAGTATCTGGGATTCTCTTTGACACACAAGTCTCGGCTGTTTTTCTCAATATCCTTAACATTCAAACCGCATTCAACCAGCAGGCCAGGATGACCATATGTGCATCGTATAAGCCACTCCTGAAAACCATTCTGTACTCAGACAACCTCCGTCTGGCTGTCCCCCTGCCAAAATTGGCCCATAAATGACGCACCCTTTGAGATCACTATTGTCCTGTCTAGGCCCCCCTTAAAGTGCCAGTAGTGCAGGATCGATTTAACCTTCCCAGATTATGAGAGAAACAGGAACCAGGGAAAGAGACCCTCTGAGGGAGGAAGACACCCTGAAGGGCAGCCCAGTTGCTGAATTCAAACGAAGTTGCAGTCCCGTTGGCTTGGGGAGTGTGTCGGGCTCAGACCAAGAATCTAGCTGATCCTGCATTTCCTTCTGTTCTTTCTGGTGACTGAGGCTGATCGCTTCCCACTCTAGGTATGGCTTTTCCCTTTTTGCTTTGGCTGGTTTGTTCCTGGGCTGAACACCATTCCGTATGCATAGAGCCCAGTCTGAAATTCTGGCATCCCTGAGCTGCCACAAAACACCAGCCACCCAAATGTCACAGAGTTTATGGAAAGAAATGGGCGGTGTCTTCCTGTTTCTTTCCCTTACATGGGTACAAGAGGAGAAGCACTTCTGCTAGCCAGAGGTATGAGACGGATTTCAGAATGAACTCTGGGTCAGAAAGATGAGCCGGCTATCAGATGGTAAGTCCGTTCCTTTGCATCCTTAGGTTTTAAATGAAAAGGAAAAGTAGTTAAAACTCTGCTTGATGTGTAAGGTAGAGCTCTGCCTGAAGGAGGGTTGAAAAGTTCTCTGAGGAAAAAAAGTTCTCTGAAATCCTTTATCATCCCTGACTTGATAGAGGTATGCTACTGGCCCATTATTAACGAGGCCTATTTTTTTAAAGTTAATATTTGTTTTATTCTTTTTTATTGTGTTATGATAGTCACCATACAGTACATCATTAGTTTTTGTTGTGGTTGTTTGTTTGTTTTTTGTTTTTTTGTTTTGGCCAAACTATTTCGTATTCTGTAGTTGCTTAACGCACACTTAAAATGGTCTTCTTGGGGGAGGGAGAAGGAAGGTTCTTGTAGATTCCCAAGGAAATGTCAGATAAAATATGGCCAACATTATCCAGTTGTTTTTTTGGATTTACAGGGTGAAAAGCACTTTCCTTACATAAGCGTCTGATCTCAGGTTTTTCATATAGAGAACACTGAGATTTCACTTTGAAGACACTCTGAAATCCTGAGAGTAGCATACCCCGACCGCCCTCTAATAGCTAGCTTGTTTGTATAGGCAGAAAGATGCACCTCTCCATTTTAGATGGCTAGATGTTTGTGGAAGGTCTTAGAATTGCTTTGCTTCATTTACTGGGAAAAATCAGATATAGGAATTGGCCTTTAAGGACACTTTTAACTTGAAAAATTACAACACTAGTACACAAGTCAAGTACTTAACACATTTAACATTTGCTTATCGATAGCAATGTCATAAAATCAAATAAGATTAAACAGGTTTTACTTTTTTTCCCTCAGAAGAACATAAAAATTATGGAAGGGGAACTTAAACAGGAAATTTTTAAAAAAGTAACACAATTTTCCCTTTTAGTAGGCCTTGAATGGTTATGACAGAAAATGTTCCACTTTTTTGTTTCTTTGAACAGGAATTTTGGTCCAAAGTTTTGTTTGGGGTGTGTGTGTGTGTGTGTGTGTGTGTGTTTAAAGATTTTATTTATTTATTTGACAGAGAGAGAGAGAGAGAGAGAGATCACAAGTAGACAGAGAGGAAGACAGAGAGAGAGGGGGAAGCAGGCTCCCCACCGAGCAGAGAACCCAATGCAGTGTTCGATCCCAGGACCCTGAGATCATGACCTGAGCCAAAGACAGAGGCTTAACCCACTGAGCCACCCAGGCACCCCTTTGTTTGTTTGTTTGTTTGTTTGTTTAAATATTTATTTATTTATTTATTTGACAGATCACAAGTAGGCAGAGAGGCAGGCAGAGAGAGAGAGAGAGAGAGAGAGGAGGAGGAGGAGGAAGCAGGCTCACTGCTGAGCAGAGAGCCCGATATGGGGCTCGATTCCAGGACTCTGTGCGGGGCTCGATCCCAGGACTCTGGGATCATGACCTGAGCTGAAGGCAGAGGCTTTAACCCACTGAGCCACACAGGCGCCCCCCTTTGTTTGTTTTTAATATCTGCTCCTGCCTCCTCCTCTGTTGGATCAGCTTCCTTCACGGCCACCACCTCTTGGTGCTCCGTGGCTTGAATTGCTGTAGGAATCATGTGGAGGAGGGTACCCCCTTTCCATAGAAGGGAGAAGCCGTCTTTCCTGTCTGCCAGCCCGATCATGACCACATGAGTAGAGATCACTTCGGCTGCTTGAGTAACTGTCTCGACGTCCACCATATCTGTCACATGAGCTGCTGTAATCATCATAGCGACTGCTCCCACCATAAGATGGCGGAGCACGTAGATGGAGCACTACGTGAGTTACCATAACTCTCTTACGAATCTCTGTAGGAACCTCCACTTGGATGATCTGAATAGTCATGATCACAACCATAGCCATCTTGACGGGTAGTCAAGATCACAACCATAGCCTCTTGACGGGTAGTCATCACGTGAACTAGAATGACCATAATCACGGTAAGTATAATCTCTCGGTGGTGGCACATAATCCCTCGTATCACGACAACTTGGGTAGTCTCTGCTTGAATAGCTGTCTTTAGTAGAGTATCATTAGTTTTGATATAGTGTTCCGTGATTCATTGTTTGCATATAAGACCCAGTGCACCATGCAGTCCGTGCCCTCCTTAATACTCATCAACAGGCTTACGTCCCCCCACCCCCTCTCTTCTAAAACCCTCTGTTTGTTTGCTGGAGTCCATAGTCTCTCATGGTCCATCTCCCACTCCAATTTCTCCCCCTTCATTTTTCCCTTCTCCTAATATCCTCCATGCTATTCCTTATGTTCCACAAATAAGTGAAACCATATGATAATTGACTTTCTCTGCTTGACTTACTTCATTCAGCATCATCTCCAGTTCCATCCATGTTGATGCAAAAGTTGGGTATCCATCCTTTCTGATGGCTGCGTAATACTCCATTTTGTATATGGACCACATCTTTATCCATTTGTCTATTGAAGTGCGTCTTGGCTCTTTCCACATTTTGGCTATTGTGGACATTGCTGCTGTGAACATTGGATGCATATGGCCCTTCTTTTCGCTACATCTGTATCTTTGGGGTAAAGACTCAGTGGTGCAATTGCTGTGTCATAGGGAAGCTCTATTTTTAATTTTTTGGGGAAACTCCACACTGTTTTCCAAAGTGGCTGTACCAATGTGCATTCCCACCAACAGTGTAAGAGGGCTCCCCTTTCTCTACAACTTCTCCAACATTTGTTGTTTCTTGCCTTGTCAATTTTTGCAAGGCCTAATTTTTATTTGTGAGATGTTAAGAACTACTCCATGGGGATGATGGTTATATACCTCAAAAGATCAAGGATACTCTCCAAAATCTTCCAGTTTCCTTTACTAATAATGGGTACCCACTAACTCTTTTAACCCCCTATGCATAACTGCTGTTTATTTCTTTAGCCTGTTCCACCTAAACTTACTGAGGCTTATGTGAAGTTTTGTTTATCCTACCTTTACCTCTTCCTAACTTACATGTTTGTATCTTCTGTATTTGGTGAATTATTGACTCTTTCCACTTGTTTCGTGATTTTATAGACTCATCATGTTCTTCTTCAAACTTCTTCTTTCTAGACCAGGAGTTTTCACCAAGAATGGGAAGGATTTGGAAGAGAGGGGGACATGTTTATCAGAAACTTCTGGAGAGCTTTTCCAAGTAGAGTGAGTCCGCTTCCCTCTCCCATGAACATATAAAAACCTTGGCTGGGGAAATATGAATTTTTTAAAAAATTAAAAATTTTAAAAATAAATAAATTAAATTAAATTAAAATTTTAAAAATTAAAATAAAATAAAAAAATAGAATAATTTTTAAAAATAAATTTTATTTATTTATTTGGCAGACAGATCACAAGTGGGCAGAGAGGCAGGCAGAGAGTGGAGGAAGCAGGCTCCCTGCTGAGCAGACAGCCCAATGCGGGGCTCAATCCCAGGATATTGGGATCACGACCTGAGCCAAAGGCAGAGGCTTTAACCCACTGAGCCACCCAAGCGCCCTGGGAAATGTGCATTTTAAGAATTTCTACGTGTAATTCTATGGTCAACTCCCTCTACCCTGTTGTGACTGCTGTGCTGAACTGAAGATCCCTAATCTTTTTGTTCCTTCATAAGGCACTTCTTTCAATGCAACAATAACTCATGTTTGCCATTCGATGGAATAAAGTTTCTATTCATGTGGGACTGACAGTTGTTGGGGATTGCAGTGAACATGTGCAGTCACAAAAAATAATTGGTACTTACATATGACGCCCAGAAAACTGATAGATTCTCTCTGATGCAGAGCAACCTTATCTACTTTGCTTTTTTACTTGCTTTTCTCTCAGTGGTTTTCCCTGGACGGATTCCTCAAGTGACTGACAGCAACCAGAATGGCAGATTCCAACTACAGCTTCTCGGAGGGCTTCATTCTGATGGGCGTATCTGACCATCCGCAGCTGGAGATCATCTTTTTCATAGTCATTCTCTTCTCTTACTTGCTGACCTTGCTTGGGAACTCAACCATTATCCTACTTTCCTGCCTGGATGCCCGGCTCCACACCCCCATGTACTTCTTCCTCAGCAACCTCTCGTCCCTAGACCTTGCTTTTACTACTAGCTCAGTCCCCCAAATGCTGATCAACTTATGGGGACCAGACAAGACCATAAGCTATGGAGGCTGTGTGACCCAGCTCTACGTTTTCCTCTGGCTGGGGGCTACTGAGTGCATTCTGCTTGTGGTGATGGCATTTGACCGCTATGTGGCAGTTTGCCGGCCTCTGCACTACACCACCATTATGAACCCTCGGCTGTGCTGGCTGTTGGCTGCCATTGCATGGTTGGGTGGCTTGAGCAACTCTGTGATCCAGTCAACGTTCACTCTGCAGCTCCCATTATGTGGGCACCGGAGGGTGGACAGCTTCCTGTGTGAGGTGCCTGCCATGATCAAACTGGCCTGTGGAGACACCAGTCTCAATGAGGCTGTGCTCAATGGTGTCTGCACCTTCTTCACTGCTGTCCCTCTGAGCATCATCCTGATCTCCTACTGCTACATAGCTCAAGCAGTGCTGAAGATCCGCTCGGCGGAGGGACAGAGAAAGGCCTTTAATACGTGCCTCTCCCACCTGGTGGTGGTGTTACTCTTCTATGGCTCAGCTATCTATGGCTATCTCCTTCCGGCTAAGACCAGCAGCCAGGACCAGGGCAAATTCATTTCCCTCTTCTACTCTGTGATCACACCAATGGTGAACCCTCTCATCTACACTCTAAGAAACAAGGAGGTAAAGGGGGCACTAAGGAGGCTGCTGGGAAAGGGAAGAGAACTTGGCTGAGAGAAGGGAAAACTCCATCATCATTTAACTCCTCTTCTTCTTCTGCCTTTATCTCATTCTCGCTCTGTCCTGATGAATATGAGGAGAACCAGCCCTAGTGCAACCAAGATATATTCCCAACAACCCTAAGCTGCTAAGACATGGTTAGTTGTTTCTAATATTCTGTGCTTATTTACTAAAAATCCTGTGGACTACAGATAACAATGGATCTTAGGTGAGTCTCATCAACAGTTCAGAGGTTGTTGACTTAGTACAGACATAGCTCACTGTCTTGTTGTACACATGTTATTTATTATGTTATTATATGTTATTACACGTAATAATATTACTTGTTTTCTATTTGTAGAAAATTAAGTACCTTAAAAGGCAGTTCCGTTTGCAATATCGTTATATAATGATGTTATCATTCCATAAAATAATCAGAATTGATTAATCGTAAATGAAAACTCAAACAGTTCATCTTTGTACCCTATCCATTCCCCCATCTTTCTCAATCTCTTTTTGCCTCTTCTCAGTATTTCAGTCTATTTACCCATGCTTTCTTTTTTTAAAAAGATTTTATTTATTTATTTGAGAGAGAGAGAACAGAGAGAGAGAGAGAGTGCACAAGCTGGGGGGAGGGGCAGAGGGAGAGGGAGAGGGAGAAGTAAGACTCCCCACTGAACAGGAATCCTGATGCAGTGCTCGGTCCCAGGACCCTGGAATCATGTCCTGAGCTGAAGCCAGACTTCCAACTGACTGAGCCACCCAGGTGCCCTTGTTAACTCATACTTCTTTTTTTTTTTAAGATTTTATTTATTCATTTGACAGAGAGATCACAAGTAGGCAGGGAGGCAGGCAGAGAGAGAGAGGAGGAAACAGGCCCTCCGCGGAGCAGAGAGCCCAATGCGGGGCTCAATTCCAGGACCCTGGGGTCATGACTTGAGCCAAAGGCAGAGGCTTTAACCCACTGAGCCACCCAGGCGCCCCTAACTCATACTTCTTATCCATATGTTCCTTTGTCATCTTGTTTATCTTCTTCTTTATGTCTACATGCCATCTTCTGTTTCATCTAATATTTAATGAGGAAAAAAGAAAGACTCTTTTCCTTTCAATTAAACCTTTTTATTTAAATTGCCTCCTCCAAAGTCCCAGCCATGAGATTTGCTCTCAGCATTTGGATATGTTATTATAATTGCTGGATTATGGGATGCTCTGAGACTCTTTAAACAAGTTTAGGAGCCCAGGAAAGATCATCTCTCCATAAAGCATGTCCCCTGCCTCCAGATCTGTTTTTTTCAATCTTAACATTACTGGAACTCAGCAATCAGTCCAGCACACCATGAGTCAACTTGAGGAACACAGGTATTAGAATTAGAATGCCAATATGTGATATAGCACACTAGAATTGCCATTGGAATACATACATACTACCATATTTCGTGTTCTCCTTCCTTAGAGAAACTGGGTTAATATGAGTAAGTTGTTTAGCAACTACATTTCCAAAGAAGGAAATCAATAGGCTTTAGGACTATTTTCAGAAGAGTGATATACTTTGTGTCCTCCACAGCACCTAAACACATCTCATACGTAGCAGATGCTCAATAAACATTTATTTTTTTTAAAGATTTTATTTATTTATTTCAGAGAGAATGAGTGAGAGAGAGCATGAGAGAGGAGAAGGTCAGAGGG